GCAATGACTGACTGATTGACACACTACCACTAGTCTTATATTATAGAATATTATAGATATATATAGATATATTAATTATTATAAAATATAAAAGCTCAAATGGATTCTGAATCTTTGTATGTATGTAAGTTTATGGAAGACATGCATATAGGAAAAAGCTCAACTTGATCGCCATTGTGTGATATTTTAATAGTGTTAATTTTTTTATTCAATTTATATTGATGTTTGAAAAAGTAAATAAAGATTGATTTTAAACTGAATTTTCATTTGATTGACGTAATGTGTAAAAAACAAAATCAAATTAAATGTATTACCCTTAACAAAAATGTTAATTTAGTCTGAAAATATTATGCAAATCACATCCCCTTGTGCCAGTCTCTTCCCTTCATAGAAGAATACAAAATTTTTAAAAATTACATCAGAAAATATTACTTTTTTAAAGTTTGTTTTCAAGTTGGAATTTTTTTTTTGTATAATTAACATGGATTGATAAAGTGCAATGTGGTAGGTTAAAAAAATGTATTTTAAAAACTAATAATTTGCTATATTGTTTGCAATTATCCTTGCATTTACATTTATGTTTGAATTTATATTTGGGTTGTTTTTGCGTTATTGCTTGCATTTGCACTTAAGTTTATGTTTATATTAACTTTAGGGTTTGTGTTTCCCTTTAAGTTTCCAATTAAGTTTGTGGATGTGTTATGTTTGAGTTTGCGTTTATGTTTGTTTTTTGTTTATGTTAGCACTTATGTTAATGTTTGTGTTTTTATATTTTCACAAATTTTAATTTTACTTTTGTGTTAGTTTTCACAAACTTTCATTTAAATAAATGAGTTGGAAAAACAAAACAAATTGAAAGTTTGAGGGGCGGTGGAAATGAAAAGTATGAGGGGGGGGGTGCAAATCAAAAGTTTGAGGGGGGTGCAAATTGAAAGTTCGATGGGGGGGGGTGCAAATGAAAAGTTTGTCCCCAGGCGCCAGGAAGGGTCGCTACGCTTCTGTGTGCCTGACAGTTCACTAGTTAGACCAGAGTGAATGAAGCAATCACTTACAGGTAGTAGATTCCAAATGTATGTCCATAGAACACATACTCCACTCCTACACCCCACAAAACTGAAAGTAAAAATTATATAGGCCATAGTTATAATAGAGCTAATTTTGATGTCTTGTTTAATAAAATAGTTAAAAATCAGCTGGCAGTCTGAGTCTGAATACAATTCATATTTATTAGATCAATATGAAAAACAACAAAATTTTCACCAAAAGAAACAGAAATAGACCTATGAAATTAAACATTTTTTAAAGATGGCATTGTGAGAAATTGTGAGTGTATAGACAGTAGGCCTATAGTGACTATAGTGTATTCTGAATTTTTCCATAGACCTTAACAATATTTGAATATTAATTTACTGCAACTATGGTAATATCTCTCCCCCCCCCCCCCCACACACACACCGCATTTAGGGGCCTGTTTAGTTTGCGAACACGAGGTCAAGATAAATTCGCTCGACTGCTATCAGTATCATATTGACATAATGCCAATGGTGGTAATATTGAAACAATATGAATGAACTTATGAAGTAGATCTCAAACGAGGGCTTACCAAGGGCTGTTATTATACCGAGGACGCGACAAACCACGACCAAAGTTCTCCAGCAGCAATCTCCACTATGCCTTTCCATAATGTCGTTTGCTAAATATAATAATCACATTTCAACATGTTCTAACTCTTAGAACTACAATTTTGCAATTGATTCTTTAAACATGATTTCATGCATTCTACAAATGCTAAGGGTAACTGACGACTTGACCCGGAACTGCTTGCTAGGGTGAGGTTAAAGGTGGTGTAAAACAAAACCAGCATAAAAAATAATTTAAAAAGTAGACTGTAATTTTTGCATTGTTTAATTTTAAGAGGACAATTTTCTTTAATCTAGCTGTAGTAATTTTCAGATCAAATAAAACCACCCTAACCGTAACATTTTACACGCGTTGGAATAATGCATGTAAATTGAGCCAATAACTCAAAGATTTGACTTTTTCTGAATTGTATCCAATCGTAGCATGATAACTGGCGCTAATAATTACCGCCAGAGGCCTAGATGTATGCCTAAATACAGTGTTTCTTTCAGGCATCTCTTCGGGGGGGGGGGGGGCGAAGAGAGTCTACCGCCCAGTGGCGGATTAAGGGGGGTGCTGAGGGGGCTGCAGCCAGGGGCCCCCGATTTTTAGGGGCCCCAAAATTTCCTTTTTCAATCATAGTAAATTTCACTTTAAAGTGATTTTTTTTACTATAAAAGCCAATGTTTTAATAATTGAATCACAAGTTTATTTCACTTTTTTTTATCAAAATATCAAACTCGAGCACACACTTTAGTATAAATACCAGCCCGGACAGCGTTTGCTTATGACAATAAATTGGGTTAATTTTAGAGTTAAAAACATAAACAGCGTTCGAATTCTGACACATAAATGACATGCATCTGGTGTGAACATTCTATGATTTAAACTTTTAAAAACATTTATGGGCCTTTACTTTTAGTGAACGTTAATATCGGGTTTACAGGCCAGGGATGACGTTCTTTAAATGGACGCCTGTGAAAATCCATTTTATTGTGGGCCTCATAAATGGATGACACCTAAGGGATGGAGGTGTGTTTTTTTAATTTATTTTTTATGCTTATACCGTGCTTACTGTTTTAGTTGGGCCTAGTTTAACCTCGTAGACCGTCCCTGAATCCACCCAACTCTGATGGGTACCTAACTCACGTTAGGGAAAGTAAAGGCGGCTGGGCATAGTGCTGACCATACTATCTCTTCATATGCCGAGGTCACAGAAACAAGTGAACTCTACTTCACTTGCCCCATAGGCCGTCAGGTTTGAAAGGGAAACTTTACTTTACTTTACTAGTTTAACCTCTGTATGTTATTAATAATTTCCTACATAGAGTGGTTTGAAATTCTCTTTTTTCTCTTCGCGTCTGCAAGCAAACACGCGCCAACAGCCTTTATCGTCTGCTCTATAACGACAATATAATAATATTCGCATGGATATTTATGTTTATTCAATGTTAGTCTGCATTTCCAGCTTTCTCACGCCCAATATAAAAACTTGAATTACAGTTCAATAACTATCGTGACACGGATATACAGGCTCAGGAGTTTGACTCCCATTAGCCAGGGAGGTCTCGACGTAGTGAACTTCAACTAAATGGCAAACTGTGGACAAAATCAGTCTCACGAAGATGATGGTTTGAAACACTACATGATGGTCGCTTATTCATCCGTAGGCTTGCACCAGGCTTTACCTTCCCAACCAACAGACGTGGGACATCGTCCTACCGTCTGGTACCCGGCTAGGTCGATGGTCAGAGGTCTAAAGCTTCTACAGGCCTAAAGTAAACAGTCATATATTTATTACTGCTCACTTAGCGGATGAATTTAGGCTATCTGTATTTTGTTAGTGTGTGTCGTGGCAGTGGGTGGGGGCAACAATTCATATAATCATGCTAAAAATGAATACATATTGATGGCAGGGGATCAGCGTGGTTGAATCAGTAAAGTTCGTGGATGCTTAACCGAAATGTCTCGAGTTCAAGCCCTCGGACAGATATGGCTCGTTAGCTGGGGACAGCAACTCTTTAAGGAGAGACAACTCCAAAATCAAACAGCTGCTGTAGTTTGTTCTTGGTTGGACAAATTTGGAAACAAATTAAAAAAGAAAAGCAGGCTGAAATCGGAGTCAATGGTCTCAAAAGCGCATGACCAGTTGACACTTATACTTAATTGTGTTGGAGGGGATCCCTTCCAACACTAAAATTAAGAACGAAGAAGAAGAGAAGAAGAAGAAGGTTAAATGTTTGCATCCAAATTACCGCTCATTGAACACAATAGACTTCTTTTTAAAATTAGCAGTTTTGTAAATATCGGTGTCGAATGTTCCTATAAGTTATAAATAATCCATTAATATCTTGAATAGTATGCTGATATATATATATATATATATATATATATATATATATATATATATATATATATATATATATATATATATATATATATATATATATCAAGGGCCCCGAAAAATGTTTCAGCCCGGGGCCCCGCCCAAGCTTAATCCGCCCCTGCTACCGCCCCTCCCCGAAAGAAATGGAATTTATATTAAAAAATATATACTTTTAATTGTGTGCATCCCCGGTTTATTCCGCCCCCCCCCCCCCAGAGTTTCTTCCAGGCATCTCTTCGGGGGGGGGGGGGAGGGGCTTCTACCGCCCCCCGAACGAAATGAAATTTATATAATTTATATAGAAAATATATACTTTTAACAGTGTCCGCCCCCCCCACCGAAGAAAGTTTACCGCCCCCCCCCCCCCGAAAATTTCAAGTGCCCCCCCCCCCCCCGGAGAAAAAAGTCTGGAAGACTTTTTTGTGACGACGTGTGACGGAAGGGAGGGGGGGGGAGGTAAAAATCGTCCAAAAAAGCGTGATGTCATTTATGGATGACCCCCCTAAACATGATAACGCGCGTATAAAATTTTGACATACTGACGACAGACAGACTGTCGACAGACAAACTTTCGACTGTCAAACTTTCGACAGACAGAGAAAGCAAGTTTTAAAAAACCTTGTAAAAATAGCATAGAATCTTATAAAAAAATAATTGCGCACAAAATGAAAAAACAACGTGTGTATAGTAATGCGGAATAAAGTACTTTGTGAAGAAAAACTTAATTTTCATAGAGTTAATTAATCATCTAATTAAGTAACATTTTATTTCACAATACATGAAAAGTTTAAAATTTAAAAAAATGGTCCTTGTAGAATAAATGTTCGGAATTTGGTTCGCAATTTTCCGACCGTGATGAACGATACACAGAGGAATCAAGTTAAAAATAAATTCATGTGCGTTTTTTGAAGAATCAGAAAAAGCGGCCCGGGAAATGACTCACAATTATGACAGAAAACAGAGAAATTAGATCTTTTACTTATATGTGAAATATTGTATACGAGCCGACCCGCGGCGTATCATACGCCGCTATATTCAGTTGTTTTATTTTCTACTTTTCAGTAATTCATAATTTGTGAATTCGACAGTACCAATGCTGCCACTGAAAATATTTGCTTTAAAACACTATCAGTAGGTCGTTAAGGACGATACCCCCCCCCCACCTTCCTTTCCCCCAACCCTTACCCCCCCCCCCCCCACCCGTGAAAGCAGCCTCCTCTTAATTACTTCCCCTAAGTTTAAAATCGTTTCAAACTAAATTATCTGCCCCTAATAGCCGTCACTAAACCCGACTCTTCGTACTATTGTAAACATTTAGCGAGAACCACAGCTCACCAGACCATGTGGGTGGTGGAGGTGGTAGGGATATGCTTAGAGAGGAAGAGAGGGGGCAGCTAGGCGCGCTTACAGCTTGGTGTTTTCTAGGGTATCCCAGAAGAGAATTATATATATATAGATATCTATTGGAAACAGTTATTGACTTTTGAAAAACCAAAAGTATAATAAGTTCCACTTCCGGTTAACGGAAATCGCAAAAAAAGTTTATACAGAACTACACATTTGATATAATATATCTATGAAATTTCACCAACCCAGCTGTAGCAAACAGAGACACACACACACAAACAGACATACGGACACAATTGCAAAACTAATTTTTTTTCGACTCAGTGATCATAAATCTCGAATTCGAATTTTTGCAAGATTAGAGTACTTCTTCTAGATCTATACTTCGTCAATGAGAATGTAAAATATAAACCTGGAGTGATCGCCTCTAAACTTTCTCGAATATTCTTATATAACACTACGTAGTATGGTAACTCGGGATATAGACATGATTTTTAATTACTTTAACTTTTTAAAATAGGATAAAATCTCGTAGAAAAAAGAATTGCACACCAATTGAACCTCCAAATAAAATGTGCATAACAGTGCGGAATATTATTAGTACTTTATAAATTCAAATGCGTTTTTTGAGAAATCGGAAATAGCGTAAATTACTACTTCCGGTCAACGGAAATTACTCAAAATTTGTTAGAAGGCAGGGGATTGTATTTTTTAATTACATATGAAATTTCATTTATCTATCTGAAATAGTACTCAAGTTATAGTAGAAAAAGTTCCACTTCCGGTTATCGGAAATCGCTGAAAAGTTGATACGGATCTACAAATTTGATATCATACTTATATATTAAATTTCATCAACCTAGACCTTGCTGTAACAGTACTCAAGTTATCGTGTTTACAGAAACACATGCACACACACAGACATACGGACAAGATTGCAAAATTATGTTTTTCCGACTCAGGGGGGTGTAAAAATACGATTTTTTTTTGCACGATTACAGTACTTTCTCTATACTCTGTAGATCTATATACCAGAAAGTAAAAAACAGAAACTTTTTCAAGATACTTTTTTGACTAAGAACCGGAAGGGGAAACAACTTGAAGATTGACGGGGTAAGATAACTTCTATTTCCGTGAAAAACAAACTCAGGATGTACAAGATCTAGATCTAGATCTAAATCTATACTAGATCTATATTATCAAAATATTTTAGATGTCTTGGTTTAGTTAGTAAAATCATTACAATGAATTTAGGACCAAGTAACCCTTACACGAATGGGCTGCTTTTTGCTGGATGGAATCAAGATCACGGTAAATCAAAGAATAGTTTGGATGAACTCTAGTTCTAGATCTAGCTCCAAGCTCCACCCCCTTGGTAATCTATCTTTTTGGGTACGTAAAATCGCCCGCGGCTATTTATGTACGAAAACGTTACCTCATTGTCAAGGCTTTAATAGAAGTATATTGTCATACTTTTGTGTCAAATATTATAGATAAATGAATAATAAACCTAAATCAATGGCTAAATATATCGATATAGGCCAGAAATTAACTTTAAACAGCAGTGTCTGAGAGCAAGATTTGCTATATAAACAGCAGCCATTTGTAAAATAGAGTGACTTCCCCCTGAATCTGGCGCTAAAAGCTTATAAAAATAAAACTTAGACAAGATGGCTGCTATAGTAAATGAGCATGGTTGCATCTGTTGGAAACATCGCTAGTCTTCATTTATTACGGAAAAGTTTTAATTCAATTGTTTAAAAACAGGTACATAAATGAATCAAGGAAACATTTTTGAATTTTTTAAAACATAAATTCTCCTCAAAATGTGAAATAATTATTAAAATTTAAGGAGTCACCTGTTTTTCACATTACAAATCGCGGGCGATTTTACGTACCCAAAACGATAGATTACCACCCCCTTTTATATTAGCTTTAATTATAAAATTTTAAAATCAAATATTTTATTATTTCACATAAACCACGACAAGCCATACCATAACAGATCATTAGAGACCACATTTAATTATCTAGCTTACTCAGATGCCAAGAAAAAAAGGGTTTAAAAATTATCCAGAGTTTAAGTTTAAACAATAAACAATAATAAACATGAAAGCCAAAAACCACATTTTTCCTCCCAGGAGCAGGACATCCTGAACTTGTGTACTCAGGTTTTAAAATGCTGCCATGGTAATTGTGTCAACAAATTTATTCATTCAAATTTATTCAAACAACGGTTACAATTGTAGGCACAAAGGCCTTTTTTCACATTGGCCGTTTAAACAAATAAAACAATTCAATAACACATAGCAGTAACACATAGCACTAAAAATGTGGAATAAAGAAACAATGGTACATAGCTATCATACATAATGAGATAAAAAAGAGAATATAATAGATGAATGAGAAATGTTACAATGAGTCAGTTAGGTCATTAAATAATTTTAGTTTTAGTTTAGATTTGAATATATTTTCAGATCTAGATAGCTTTATTTTATTAGGAAGATTGTTCCACAAATTAGAACCAGAGTAGGCGAAGCTATGTTTTTGGAAAAAGGTTGAATAAGGGAATGGTAAATTAAGACGACGATTTAATTTTATGTTAAAAGAAAATAGATCTGATAAGTAAGAGGGGGCTGTTTCGTGGAATATTTTATATAAGAAAATTGATTTAGTATATATTATCTTTTTATTTAATGGAAGTATTTTAGTTGTAAGAAAAGAATCCAGACTACTAGACAAGCCAGTAACCAGTTTTATAGGCCTTTTTTTGTAAAGAAAGAAGAGGACGCTGCTTAGTTATAAAGCTGCCGCTCCACACTACAGAAGCATAATGCAACCTGGATTGAATAAAACATGGATTATTTTACGTAGGGGGGAGGGGGGGGTCCATAATTTTGTGACGGTGTGTGATGAGGGGGAGGGAGGGGGTTCAGATGGTGCGACATCACACTTTTGCATTATAAAAAAGCAATGTTAAAAAACGAATTTTAGAAGTTATTTAGCGTTGTAGGCTGAGATGTGATGTCATTTTAGGGGGGGGGGGGAGGGGTCCTGACCTTGTGACGGAGGGGAGGGGGAGGGGGTAAAAATCATCTAAAAAAGCGTGATGGTCATTTATGGATGACCCCTAATGCTAATAATTACTTATACATAGAATAGGCCTAAATTTACTTATTTAGTAAATACAACATTACAAATAGTTAAAAAAATAAAAATAAAGGCCTAGATCTAGCTACGTAGCTAGGCCTATTTAATAATTTATAATGTTTAGTGTAGGATGTTTTACAAAATTTTTAATTAAATTATTTCTTAGGCCTAATAGGCCTATAATTTATTTCATCACAATGTTCACACCCAATTTAAGGGGAAAGACGCTGGAAAAGAACTTCTTATTGATTAGTTATTTATTTGTGTGTATCTATGTTAACTAAAGGAAAATATTTGCATGCATCACAGTCTCTTCTGAAAGTAGGATTGCCATCTTGCAGACATGCCTACCGTCCCGCCAAAAGCGGAACCGTTCCGCTTTTTTACCCTCAAAAGTAATTTGTTCCGTCGTTCCGACTTGGACTCGTTTTGTTCCGAATTTTTTTCGAAAATAATCAAAAAAGTTATTTAAAAAAAGGAAAAAGAAAATTATTAGCAAAAATGCGAATATCCCCCCAGAAAACTAGGAAACGGAAGTGAACGGCGTTCCCTGTTTACTTCCGTTTCCTTGTTGAAAAATGCCGAAACGTTCAGTATCTGAGATCGGGGAATCCCCTTCAACCTCAAAAAAACGTGTTCAGTGCTTCAAAACGGAATATTCGGAAGAATTTCCTTTTATCAAAAAAGGAAAGAATTGCGAAACAAATGCTCATTGTGAGATTTGGAATTGTGAGTTTAAAATAAAATATGGAGGAAAGTACGACATTACCAAGCACAATGCAAGTGCAAAAATTAATGTTGTTATGATTCTGCGATAAGGTGGGAGGTGGGAGGTTGTAGTGCAGTGGCCAGTAGAGGGGGAGGTTGTAGTGAAGTGGCCAGTAGAGGGGGGAGGTGAGATGTGAATGAGGGGCAGAGAGATGTGAATGAGGGGCAGTGAGATGTGAATGAGGGGCAGTGAGATGTGAATGAGGGGCAGTGAGATGTGAATGAGGGGCAGTGAGATGTGAATGAGGGGCAGTGAGATGTGAATGAGGGGCAGTGAGATGTCTGGTGAATGAGGGGCAGTGAGATGTGAATGAGGGGCAGTGAGATGTGAATGAGGGGCAGTGAGATGTCTGGTGAATGAGGGGCAGTGAGATGTGAATGAGGGGCAGTGAGATGTCTGGTGAATGAGGGGCAGTGAGATGTGAATGAGGGGCAGTGAGATGTGAATGAGGGGCAGTGAGATGTGAATGAGGGGCAGTGAGATGTGAATGAGGGGCAGTGAGATGTGAATGAGGGGCAGTGAGATGTGAATGAGGGGCAGTGAGATGTGAATGAAGTGTGAATGAGGGGCAGTGAGATGTATTTGTTATGGAGTGGTTAGTTGTGTTTAGGTGAGGTGGGTGTGCTACTGTCTGTGCCAATCAGTTCTAGGATGGAGGGCAAATGGTGGGGTATTTATAGTGAAGAAAGAGTACACATCAAAACCATGATATGTGTACAGAATGAGTACATATACAGTTATAAAAGTTGCAGTCTGTAAAACTAGACATACGAGTACATGTACGGTTGTAAAGGTTGCAGTCTGTAGAACTAGACATTGTGACGAAGTTTGTATTTTCTTAGAAATATAGTATTGTATCATTGCCTCCTTACAGATGCCAAATCAGTCCTACAATCCCTTCAAAATCCGGAGTCCTATATCCAAACACTTATGACAGCACTAGAGAGGCTTAAAAATACCTGCAGCAGAATTGTGCTGCAGTGGATCCCGGGCCACTGCCAGATCCAGGGTAACGAGATCGCAGACCAGCTGGCAAAAATTGGGGGAAAGAAACCACAACCGGAAATTTCGCTACACCCAAAAGAAATAAAAAGAATAATTAAAAACAAACAAACGCAAATGTGGTCTGTCACACACCCTCACTACATTAAAGACGACGGCTATTACAATTTAACACGAAAACAACAATACATAATCTTTCGACTCAGAACAGGCCACAACAGACTAAATCAACACATGCACAAAAAACTGAAGGTTGGGTGTAGCGAAATGTGCCCTTGTGGCAAGGCCCCGGAAAACACTGAGCACGTACTCCAGGATTGTACTCTGTATAGACAGGCAAGAGGCAGACACTGGCCCCAGCCCACCCCACTCAGGGAAAAATTATATGGGACACCTGACAAACTGGAAACCACAGTCCGGTTTGTCCACGAAGTTGGTCTTGTTGTCTGAATCCTCCCCCATATTCAAAAATTAAGAACGAAGAAGAAGAAGAAGAAGAAGTATCATTGCAAATGGAGGAAGGGGGTGGGGGTGGTGTCTACCGAGCAAGAAGAGGAGTCTTGAGGGCAAAGACATTGAATGGGTGGGGGAGGTTGGGTCCAAGCAGTTCTTTGTATCTTAGTATGACAGTGTTTATGTTTGTAGAGTGTATGACTCCAAATATTTGGGGCGGAAGGGGGGTGCATAGGGCAGTTGAGATGCTTGACCCACTGAGCTGGTTTTAAAGTGGTGTGTGTGTGTGTGTTGGTATGTCTTATTGTCTGTGTTCATCAGGGGGGGGGGGGGGTTCCTAGGTTAGGGCGTATAGTGGGGTATATGGTGAGGAAAAAAAAAACATGATTTGGGAAATTGATTACTCTTTCCATGGCTGTTGAGAATTGTGATAAAGTGACACTGTAAATGTGAAATGCCGTCCTTCACGAGCTACTGATAGTGTTTTAAAGCAAAATATTTTCAGTCGCAACATTGTTAGTGTTGAATTCACAAATTATGAATTACTGAAAAGTAGAAAATAAAACAACTAATTAGCGGCATATGCTTACGGTGCGGGTCAGCTCGTATATAATAAACCAAGAAAAAAGCTTAAACAAGCTAAAACAGATCTGCAACAAAGGTGGATTTATCTCAAAATTTGCTGAGTATTTTTTGTTAAAAAAAATTGCATAAACTTTTCAGTAAATGAATTCTTTCATTAGATATATTTGTGACTATTGGGAGATTGTTGATTATAGCAGGCTAGTTTTTTCTAGTTTGAATCACCCCAAGTATTGTTAATAATAATTCATGTCAAAACCTGTATTTCATAATTTAAAGCAATAATTTGCAAATGTTTCTGGCATAGATAACAGCATCCATTTCCTCATAGTTTCACACTAAATTTCAGTTACAGTGATAATTATATGTAGCAGAGGTCATTCAGACTTGAAGTTCTCCATGCCATTGAGGATTCCTGAATAAGGAAGCTCCCATGTTGTTTAAGACCATTGCACCATCTAACTCATGAAACATTCTACTATTTATGTCATTAAGTAACTAAACAACGAAACAGTACTAAACAGGATTCATTTTTCCATGTATAATGTATAGCATATTTTGCTGTATGCTATCTTGTGCTTTACTACTGACAGCAAGAATGCCACTTGACTCGACTACTTGACTTACTTTATTATGTCCCATTTTGCCAGTGATTTTTCCATTGTACACATTTTCCAATTGTTTAGGCTGTTTCTCCTGTGGCATGGAGACTGGGTTTCGAGTGTATAACACAGATCCACTGAAGGAAAAGGAGAGACAAGGTTTGTTACACACCAGAGGCGTAGCGACCCTTCATGGCGGCGGGGACAAACTTTTGATTTGTAGCCCCCCCCCCCCTCAAACTTTCAATTTGGTGCCCCCCCCCCCCCCTAAGGTCGGCGCCCGGGGACATGTGTCCCCCCCCCCCCTCGCTACGCCTCTGTTACACACACAGTAGGCCCACTTCAGCTATTGGCTATTCTTTTCCGTTTTGTAAGATAACTAAAGGAAAATAAATTGTGTTGTGGAAACAAAACAAATATTTTATATCTTTATGATTTCATTCCAGATTTCTCTGATGGCGGTATTGGACATGTAGAGATGTTGTTTCGTTGCAATTATTTAGCTTTAGTGGGAGGAGGGAAAAACCCCAAATACCCACCAAACAAAGGTAAACCCTTCAACTGATCTAGTTTTGGCCAATAGTTTAGTAGTAGCTGATCTAGTTTTGACCACAAGTTTTAGTAGTCCTTGCTTTCATAATCCCCAGAATTAGTAGAGATTATCTAGGAGTATTAGAAGCTATACATAAGGGTATCATATTGACTAATTCCTAGTTATCTAGGAGTATTAGAAGCTATACATAATTGTATCCTATTGACTAATTCCTAGTTATCTAGGATTATTAGAAGCTATACATAAGGGTATCATATTGACTAATTCCTAGTTATCTAGGAGTATTAGAAGCTATAAATAAGGGTATCATATTGACTAATTCCTAGTTATCTAGGAGTATTAGAAGCTATAAATAAGGGTATCATATTGACTAATTCCTAGTTATCTAGGAGTATTAGAAGCTATACATAAGGGTATCATATTGACTAATTCCTAGTAATCTAGGAGTATTAGAAGCTATACATAAGGGTATCATATTGACTAATTCCTAGTTATCTAGGAGTATTAGAAGCTATACATAAGGGTATCATATTGACTAATTCCTAGTTATCTAGGAGTATTAGAAGCTATACATAAGGGTATCATATTGACTAATTCCTAGTTATCTAGGAGTATTAGAAGCTATACATAAGGGTATCATATTGACTAATTCCTAGTTATCTAGGAGTATTAGAAGCTATACATAAGGGCATCATATTGACCCTAAAACTTATGTGACTTTTCCCTTCTGAATTTGCTAGTGATGGTGTGGGATGACTTAAAGAAGAAACATGTCATAGAACTGGAATTTTCTTCTGACGTCCGCAGCGTCCGTCTTCGCAGGGACAGGTAGTTTAGATTGTATGACTGTATGATTGAACACTGTTTAAACAATATCAGATTGTATGACTGTATGATTGAACCTTGTTAAACAATATCAGATTCAGATTGTATGACTGTATGATTGAACACTGTTAAACAGTATCAGATTGTATGACTGTATGATTGAACACTGTTAAACAGTATCAGATTGTATGACTGTATGATTGAACCTTGTTAAACAGTATCAGATTGTATGACTGTATGATTGAACCTTGTTAAACAGTATCAAATTGTATGACTGTATGATTGAACACTGTTAAACAATATCAAATTGTATGACTGTATGATTGAACCTTGTTAAACAGTATCAGATTGTATGACTGTATGATTGAACACTGTTAAACAGTATCAGATTGTATGACTGTATGATTGAATCTTGTTAAACAGTATCAGATTGTATGACTGTATGATTGAACACTGTTAAACAGTATCAGATTGTATGACTGTATGATTGAACCTTGTCAAACAGTATCAGATTGTATGACTGTATGATTGAATCTTGTTAAACAGTATTAGATTGTATGACTGTATGATTGAACAGTAACAGTGATTGAAGGATGAATTAAAGATTTTTGACTACTTTTAGAATAATTCTTGCTTTAGACAGTAAAAAAGGTGGTTTACTATTTGTAGGATAGTTGTGGCCTTAGACACGATGATCAAAGTGTACACTTTCACACAGAACCCACAGCAGTTACATGTCTTTGAGACAGGTTTAAATCCTAAAGGTAATTGTCAAGCAGCTTTCAATTATGACATTTTTTATAGAGAATATGTACTTGGTATAAACATTCTAACTTTAAATGTTAACCTAATATGTACATCTTAGCTTTAAATTTTTTTACGTAATGTGTACGGCTTAGCTTTAAAAATGTTTACTTAATATGCACATCTTAGCTTTAAAAATGTTTACTTAATGCACATATCTTAGCTTTAAAAATGTTTACCTAATATGTACATCTTAGCTTTGAAATTGTTTGCAGGACTGTGCGTAATGTGTCCAAACAGCACCAACTCCTACCTGTCATTCCCAGCCAGAAAACTAGGTCATGTCCAGCTGATTGATCTTGCTGACACAGAGAAGGCCCCGTTAGATATCCCGGCCCACGAGGCCAATCTCAGCTGCATGGCCATGAACCTCCAGGGCACAAAGTTGGCCACAGCTTCAGAAAAGGTCTAATTTTTTTAGATGGTTTAGTTGGCAATAACATTTTTCAAGTCAGATATTTTGTTGACTTGACCTTATCTGACCTGACCTGAGCTTATTTGACTTGACCTTATCTGACTTAACCTGACCTTATCTGACTTGACCTGACCTTATCTGACTTGACCTGACCTTATCTGACTTGACCTGACTTTATCTTTACTATTCTCCTTCTGCTAGGGCACATTGATTCGTGTATTTGACACAGCCAATGGACACTTAATACATGAGCTGCGTCGTGGTGCAAACAGTGCACACATTTACTGGTAAGTGCTCCACTAGCACCACATCATGTAGCAACAGATCTTGTACCGCAATACTTTAGCACCAGATCATGTACCACAATACTTTAGCACCAGATCATGTCCCACAATACTTTAGCACCAGCACCAGATCATGTACCACAATACTTTAGCACCAGATCATGTACCACAATACTTTAGCACCAGATCATGTACCACAATACTTTAGCACCAGATCATGTACCACAATACTTTAGCACCAGATCATGTACCACAATACTTTAGCACCAGATCATGTACCACAATACTTTAGCAACAGATCATGTACCACAATACTTTAGCACCAGCACCAGATCATGTACCACAATACTTTAGCACCAGATCATGTACCACAATACTTTAGCACCAGCACCAGATCATGTACCACAATACTTAAGCACCAGATCATGTACCACAATACTTTAGCACCAGATCATGTACCACAATACTTTAGCACCAGATCATGTACCACAATACTTTAGCACCAGATCATGTACCACAATTCCTTAGCACCAGCACCAGATCATGTACCACAATACTTTAGCACCAGCACCAGATTATGTACCACAATACTTTAGCACCAGATCATGTACCACAATACTTTAGCACCAGATCATGTACCACAATACTTTAGCACCAGCACCAGATCATGTACCACAATACTTTAGCACCAGATCATGTACCACAATACTTTAGCACCAGCACCAGATCATGTACCACAATACTTTAGCACCAGATCATGTACCACAATACTTTAGCACCAGATCATGTACGACAATACTTTAGCACCAGCACCAGATCATGTACCACAATACTTTAGCACCAGATCATGTACGACAATACTTTAGCACCAGCACCAGATCATGTACCACAATACTTTAGCACCAGATCATGTACCACAATACTTTAGCACCAGCACCAGATCATGTACCACAATACTTTAGCACCAGATCATGTACCACAATACTTTAGCACCAGCACCAGCTGATTGGTTTCCACTTATGTTCCAGCATCAGTTTTAGTGCTGACGCCACTATGTTGTGTGTCTCCAGTGACCACGGAACTGTGCACATCTTTTCCACTGAAGACGAGAAGAAAAATAAACAGTCCAGGTAGCAAGTCAATCTCTTCGTTTGTCTAATTATAATTTCTTTTGGTTTAGTGAGAACCAAGGCAGAAACACACACCAATCAGACACACACACACACACACACACAGAATGCTCATTTATCTAGTCTTATACAATATGATGACCACTTAAGGCGCCACTGTCTCATTCAATATGATGACCACTTAAGGCCCCACTGTCTCATTCAATATGATGACCACTTAAGGCGCCACTGTCTCATTCAATATGATGACCACTTAAGGCGCCACTGTCTCATTCAATATGATGACCACTTAAGGCCCCACTGTCTCATTCAATATGATGACCACTTAAGGCCCCACTGTCTCATTCAATATGATGACCACTTAAGGCCTCACTGTCTCATTCAATATGATGACCACTTAAGGCGCCACTGTCTCATTCAATATGATGACCACTTAAGGCGCCACTGTCCCATTCAATATGATGACCACTTAAGGCCTCACTGTCTCATTTAATATGATGACCACTTAAGGCCCCACTGTCTCATTCAATATGATGACCACTTAAGGCGCCACTGTCTCATTCAATATGATGACCACTTAAGGCGCCACTGTCTCATTCAATATGATGACCACTTAAGGCCTCACTGTCTCATTCAATATGATGACCACTTAAGGCCCCACTGTCTCATTTAAAATGATGACCACTTAAGGCTAAAACATCTATTTCACACTTTTTCATTTTCTAAAACGTTTCCTTTTCCTTATTCAAAAATTATTACTTCATATTATTTTGTAGTACATAAAAGGTGTCATCCATTTATGACACTCACAAAAATGAACGTCCACACAAATTTAGTAGACCTCTGAAAACATGCGTCAAAATAATTCATTTACATATTTGCTATATTATTATTTATTATGAAATATAGGATTTGATATTTTCAGTAACATCTTTTACTTGGCCTAAATAATTATAATAAAAATAAGTATGTTTTATAATCAACTTTGTATAAATTAGACCCTTTGTGATAAGCCCTTGATTTATTAAAATGTTTCTGTCAATACCAAAAAAAATGAAAATTCTCAACATTTGATTTTCTATTTAATAGTATTTTTTCTGAGGACGCTTGTAATATTAACAGTCAAATCATTTGTAAGAAACTCAGAGGACGCTTGTAATATTAACAGTCAAATCATTTGTAAGAGGTAGCCTCTTAGGGTTCATATCTCCGTTTACTTTATTTCTTATTTTACACTAAAGAATTACTCAATGCATAAGACGCGGTCCGAGTTCATGCAAAGTCTGGAAAATCTCTATAAAAGTAAATTTTTTAGACTTAGAAGTCTGGAAAACCACTAGTTTTTAGGCTGGTTTTAAAAAAAAGCCTAGATAAAGTTGGGAATTTAATTTTAAAATAAAACTTTTCTACGATGTCTTTAAGTTTATGTGTAAACTAACTGTGATCGTTTGAATGTGCTAAAACTATCTATTTATTGAAAGAGTGATCGCGCATGGATGCTGTGTAGGCTTACCTCTTAATTTTTTTAACTCACTATTTTTCCTAAAGGTAGTCAGAGATTGCAGGCAGTCATAACATTTTTTATTGAAGATGCTGTAGACAGAAGTTTTTAATGTCATTTGTGGCTGTCAGGCTATTAACGACTATATGGGTTAGGATAAATTCAGCTCATCAACATGGCGCCATTATATTACTTTTACTCAAATTTACACTACAAGTAACAAACCGCCTCTCCCCCTTTTTTGTGGTCGAGCTGTTAGCCCTACACACCAGACTGTTAGCCCTACACACCAGACTGTTAGCCCTACACACCAGACTGTTAGCCCTACACACCAGACTGTTAGCCCTACACACCAGACTGTTAGCCCTACACACCAGACTGTTAGCCCTACACACCAGACTGTTAGCCCTACACACCAGACTGTTAGCCCTACACACCAGACTGTTAGCCCTACACACCAGACTGTTAGCCCTACACACCAGACTGTTAGCCCTACACACCAGACTGTTAGCCCTACACACCAGACTGTTAGCCCTACACACCAGACTGTTAGCCCTACACACCAGACTGTTAGCCCTACACACCAGACTGTTAGCCCTACACACCAGACTGTTAGCCCTACACACCAGACTGTTAGCCCTACACACCAGACTGTTAGCCCTACACACCAGACTGTTAGCCCTACACACCAGACTGTTAGCCCTACACACCAGACCAAAAGAGCACATTTACATGCGCTGATATTTTAATATTTAATTGTAACGTGGTTATTTTGAGTTTTTTTACTTGAAAAAATGACTAGATCTACATCATCTTTGACTCAAACTAGTGAATGCGACCAACTACGATTTAGTTATACGATCAATCAGGGCCTACATCTTATTATTATTTAATTATAATTAATTTTATCATTTAATGTTTGAAAGTAAGCTTGAAATACCCTGAATTTTTTTAGAAAATAGACCTGGTCACTGTTAAAAGTCTTTTTTTCTCAGGTTGGCGGTAAACATTTACATTTCTGATACATTTATTCACCCGTTGTGTTGGGAATATTTAACATGAAACTGTCGATTTATTGTATTACCTACATTTTATGTGGTTTTTAAAAAAAATATTATTTTGTTGTTTAATTTAAAAGTGGACGTCCACATTGACCCGACACCAACCCCTCCCCCACGTGGACGTCATGCCTGTTGCCTGTCAGTAACCAAGGGAATAGATTTAACCCTAACCCCCACGTCATGCCTGTTGCCTGTCATGATTTAACCCTAACCCCCACGTCATGCCTGTTGCCTGTCATGATTTAACCCTAACCCATTTCTTTGTTATCTACCAGCCTGGCGTCTGCAAGTTTTTTGCCAAAGTATTTTAGTTCCAAGTGGAGTTTTTCCAAGTTTCAAGTCCCTGGGGGGGCCCACTGCATCTGTGCCTTTGGTGCAGAGCCAAACACTGTCATAGGTAAGTCACCGGGGGGGGGGGGGGGTCACTACTACAGATTTTCTCTATGTTTCAGTTATATGTGCAGATGGTAGCTACTACAGATTTTCTCTATGTTTCAGTTATATGTGCAGATGGTAGCTACTACAGATTTTCTCTATGTTTCAGTTATATGTGCAGATGGTAGCTACTACAGATTTTCTCTATGTTTCAGTTATATGTGCAGATGGTAGCTACTACAGATTTTCTCTATGTTTCAGTTATATGTGCAGATGGTAGCTACTACAGATTTTCTCTGTGTTTCAGTTATATGTGCAGATGGTAGCTACTACAGATTTTCTCTATGTTTCAGTTATATGTGCAGATGGTAGCTACTACAGATTTTCTCTATGTTTCAGTTATATGTGCAGATGGTAGCTACTACAGATTTTCTCTATGTTTCAGTTATATGTGCAGATGGTAGCTACTACAGATTTTCTCTATGTTTCAGTTATATGTGCAGATGGTAGCTACTACAGATTTTCTCTATGTTTCAGTTATATGTGCAGATGGTAGCTACTACAGATTTTCTCTATGTTTCAGTTATATGTGCAGATGGTAGCTACTACAGATTTTCTCTATGTTTCAGTTATATGTGCAGATGGTAGCTACTACAGATTTTCTCTATGTTTCAGTTATATGTGCAGATGGTAGCTACTACAGATTTTCTTTATGTTTCAGTTATATGTGCAGATGGTAGCTACTACAGATTTTCTCTATGTTTCAGTTATATGTGCAGATGGTAGCTACTACAGATTTTCTCTATGTTTCAGTTATATGTGCAGATGGTAGCTACTACAGATTTTCTCTATGTTTCAGTTATATATGCAGATGGTAGCTACTACAGATTTTCTCTATGTTTCAGTTATATGTGCAGATGGTAGCTACTACAGATTTTCTCTGTGTCAGTTATATGTGCAGATGGTAGCTACTACAGATTTTCTCTATGTTTCAGTTATATGTGCAGATGGCAGCTACTACAGATTTTCTCTGTGTCAGTTATATGTGCAGATGGTAGCTACTACAGATTTTCTCTGTGTCAGTTATATGTGCAGATGGTAGCTACTACAGATTTTCTCTATGTTTCAGTTATATGTGCAGATGGTAGCTACTACAGATTTTCTCTATGTTTCAGTTATATGTGCAGATGGTAGCTACTACAGATTTTCTCTATGTTTCAGTTATATGTGCAGATGGTAGCTACTACAGATTTTCTCTATGTTTCAGTTATATGTGCAGATGGTAGCTACTACAGATTTTCTCTATGTTTCAGTTATATGTGCAGATGGTAGCTACTACAGATTTTCTCTATGTTTCAGTTATATGTGCAGATGGTAGCTGCTACAGATTTTCTCTGTGTCAGTTATATGTGCAGATGGTAGCTACTACAGATTTTCTCTATGTTTCAGTTATATGTGCAGATGGCAGCTACTACAGATTTTCTCTGTGTCAGTTATATGTGCAGATGGTAGCTACTACAGATTTTCTCTGTGTCAGTTATATGTGCAGATGGTAGCTACTACAGATTTTCTCTATGTTTCAGTTATATGTGCAGATGGTAGCTACTACAGATTTTCTCTATGTTTCAGTTATATGTGCAGATGGTAGCTACTACAGATTTTCTCTATGTTTCAGTTATATGTGCAGATGGTAGCTACTACAGATTTTCTCTATGTTTCAGTTATATGTGCAGATGGTAGCTACTACAGATTTTCTCTATGTTTCAGTTATATGTGCAGATGGTAGCTACTACAGATTTTCTCTATGTTTCAGTTATATGTGCAGATGGTAGCTACTACAGATTTTCTCTATGTTTCAGTTATATGTGCAGATGGTAGCTACTACAGATTTTCTCTATGTTTCAGTTATATGTGCAGATGGTAGCTACTACAGATTTTCTCTATGTTTCAGTTATATGTGCAGATGGTAGCTACTACAGATTTTCTCTATGTTTCAGTTATATGTGCAGATGGTAGCTACTACAGATTTTCTCTATGTTTCATTTATATGTGCAGATGGTAGCTACTACAGATTTTCTCTATGTTTCAGTTATATGTGCAGATGGTAGCTACTACAGATTTTCTCTATGTTTCAGTTATATGTGCAGATGGTAGCTACTACAGATTTTCTCTATGTTTCAGTTATATGTGCAGATGGTAGCTACTACAGATTTTCTCTATGTTTCAGTTATATGTGCAGATGGTAGCTACTACAGATTTTCTCTATGTTTCAGTTATATGTGCAGATGGTAGCTACTACAGATTTTCTCTATGTTTCAGTTATATGTGCAGATGGTAGCTACTACAGATTTTCTCTATGTTTCAGTTATATGTGCAGATGGTAGCTACTACAGATTTTCTCTATGTTTCAGTTATATGTGCAGATGGTAGCTACTACAGATTTTCTCTATGTTTCAGTTATATGTGCAGATGGTAGCTACTACAGATTTTCTCTATGTTTCAGTTATATGTGCAGATGGTAGCTACTACAGATTTTCTCTATGTTTCAGTTATATGTGCAGATGGTAGCTACTACAGATTTTCTCTATGTTTCAGTTATATGTGCAGATGGTAGCTACTACAGATTTTCTCTATGTTTCAGTTATATGTGCAGATGGTAGCTACTACAGATTTTCTCTATGTTTCAGTTATATGTGCAGATGGTAGCTACTACAGATTTTCTCTATGTTTCAGTTATATGTGCAGATGGTAGCTACTACAGATTTTCTCTATGTTTCAGTTATATGTGCAGATGGTAGCTACTACAGATTTTCTCTATGTTTCAGTTATATGTGCAGATGGTAGCTACTACAGATTTTCTCTATGTTTCAGTTATATGTGCAGATGGTAGCTACTACAGATTTTCTCTATGTTTCAGTTATATGTGCAGATGGTAGCTACTACAGATTTTCTCTATGTTTCAGTTATATGTGCAGATGGTAGCTACTACAGATTTTCTCTATGTTTCAGTTATATGTGCAGATGGTAGCTACTACAGATTTTCTCTATGTTTCAGTTATATGTGCAGATGGTAGCTACTACAGATTTTCTCTATGTTTCAGTTATATGTGCAGATGGTAGCTACTACAGATTTTCTCTATGTTTCAGTTATATGTGCAGATGGTAGCTACTACAGATTTTCTCTATGTTTCAGTTATATGTGCAGATGGTAGCTACTACAGATTTTCTCTATGTTTCAGTTATATGTGCAGATGGTAGCTACTACAGATTTTCTCTATGTTTCAGTTATATGTGCAGATGGTAGCTACTACAGATTTTCTCTATGTTTCAGTTATATGTGCAGATGGTAGCTACTACAGATTTTCTCTATGTTTCAGTTATATGTGCAGATGGTAGCTACTACAGATTTTCTCTATGTTTCAGTTATATGTGCAGATGGTAGCTACTACAGATTTTCTCTATGTTTCAGTTATATGTGCAGATGGTAGCTACTACAGATTTTCTCTATGTTTCAGTTATATGTGCAGATGGTAGCTACTACAGATTTTCTCTATGTTTCAGTTATATGTGCAGATGGTAGCTACTACAGATTTTCTCTATGTTTCAGTTATATGTGCAGATGGTAGCTACTACAGATTTTCTCTATGTTTCAGTTATATGTGCAGATGGTAGCTACTACAGATTTTCTCTATGTTTCAGTTATATGTGCAGATGGTAGCTACTACAGATTTTCTCTATGTTTCAGTTATATGTGCAGATGGTAGCTACTACAGATTTTCTCTATGTTTCAGTTATATGTGCAGATGGTAGCTACTACAGATTTTCTCTATGTTTCAGTTATATGTGCAGATGGTAGCTACTACAGATTTTCTCTATGTTTCAGTTATATGTGCAGATGGTAGCTACTACAGATTTTCTCTATGTTTCAGTTATATGTGCAGATGGTAGCTACTACAGATTTTCTCTATGTTTCAGTTATATGTGCAGATGGTAGCTACTACAGATTTTCTCTATGTTTCAGTTATATGTGCAGATGGTAGCTACTACAGATTTTCTCTATGTTTCAGTTATATGTGCAGATGGTAGCTACTACAGATTTTCTCTATGTTTCAGTTATATGTGCAGATGGTAGCTACTACAGATTTTCTCTATGTTTCAGTTATATGTGCAGATGGTAGCTACTACAGATTTTCTCTATGTTTCAGTTATATGTGCAGATGGTAGCTACTACAGATTTTCTCTATGTTTCAGTTATATGTGCAGATGGTAGCTACTACAGATTTTCTCTATGTTTCAGTTATATGTGCAGATGGTAGCTACTACAGATTTTCTCTATGTTTCAGTTATATGTGCAGATGGTAGCTACTACAGATTTTCTCTATGTTTCAGTTATATGTGCAGATGGTAGCTACTACAGATTTTCTCTATGTTTCAGTTATATGTGCAGATGGTAGCTACTACAGATTTTCTCTATGTTTCAGTTATATGTGCAGATGGTAGCTACTACAGATTTTCTCTATGTTTCAGTTATATGTGCAGATGGTAGCTACTACAGATTTTCTCTATGTTTCAGTTATATGTGCAGATGGTAGCTACTACAGATTTTCTCTATGTTTCAGTTATATGTGCAGATGGTAGCTACTACAGATTTTCTCTATGTTTCAGTTATATGTGCAGATGGTAGCTACTACAGATTTTCTCTATGTTTCAGTTATATGTGCAGATGGTAGCTACTACAGATTTTCTCTATGTTTCAGTTATATGTGCAGATGGTAGCTACTACAGATTTTCTCTATGTTTCAGTTATATGTGCAGATGGTAGCTACTACAGATTTTCTCTATGTTTCAGTTATATGTGCAGATGGTAGCTACTACAGATTTTCTCTATGTTTCAGTTATATGTGCAGATGGTAGCTACTACAGATTTTCTCTATGTTTCAGTTATATGTGCAGATGGTAGCTACTACAGATTTTCTCTATGTTTCAGTTATATGTGCAGATGGTAGCTACTACAGATTTTCTCTATGTTTCAGTTATATGTGCAGATGGTAGCTACTACAGATTTTCTCTATGTTTCAGTTATATGTGCAGATGGTAGCTACTACAGATTTTCTCTATGTTTCAGTTATATGTGCAGATGGTAGCTACTACAGATTTTCTCTATGTTTCAGTTATATGTGCAGATGGTAGCTACTACAGATTTTCTCTATGTTTCAGTTATATGTGCAGATGGTAGCTACTACAGATTTTCTCTATGTTTCAGTTATATGTGCAGATGGTAGCTACTACAGATTTTCTCTATGTTTCAGTTATATGTGCAGATGGTAGCTACTACAGATTTTCTCTATGTTTCAGTTATATGTGCAGATGGTAGCTACTACAGATTTTCTCTATGTTTCAGTTATATGTGCAGATGGTAGCTACTACAGATTTTCTCTATGTTTCAGTTATATGTGCAGATGGTAGCTACTACAGATTTTCTCTATGTTTCAGTTATATGTGCAGATGGTAGCTACTACAGATTTTCTCTATGTTTCAGTTATATGTGCAGATGGTAGCTACTACAGATTTTCTCTATGTTTCAGTTATATGTGCAGATGGTAGCTACTACAGATTTTCTCTATGTTTCAGTTATATGTGCAGATGGTAGCTACTACAGATTTTCTCTATGTTTCAGTTATATGTGCAGATGGTAGCTACTACAGATTTTCTCTATGTTTCAGTTATATGTGCAGATGGTAGCTACTACAGATTTTCTCTATGTTTCAGTTATATGTGCAGATGGTAGCTACTACAGATTTTCTCTATGTTTCAGTTATATGTGCAGATGGTAGCTACTACAGATTTTCTCTATGTTTCAGTTATATGTGCAGATGGTAGCTACTACAGATTTTCTCTATGTTTCAGTTATATGTGCAGATGGTAGCTACTACAGATTTTCTCTATGTTTCAGTTATATGTGCAGATGGTAGCTACTACAGATTTTCTCTATGTTTCAGTTATATGTGCAGATGGTAGCTACTACAGATTTTCTCTATGTTTCAGTTATATGTGCAGATGGTAGCTACTACAGATTTTCTCTATGTTTCAGTTATATGTGCAGATGGTAGCTACTACAGATTTTCTCTATGTTTCAGTTATATGTGCAGATGGTAGCTACTACAGATTTTCTCTATGTTTCAGTTATATGTGCAGATGGTAGCTACTACAGATTTTCTCTATGTTTCAGTTATATGTGCAGATGGTAGCTACTACAGATTTTCTCTATGTTTCAGTTATATGTGCAGATGGTAGCTACTACAGATTTTCTCTATGTTTCAGTTATATGTGCAGATGGTAGCTACTACAGATTTTCTCTATGTTTCAGTTATATGTGCAGATGGTAGCTACTACAGATTTTCTCTATGTTTCAGTTATATGTGCAGATGGTAGCTACTACAGATTTTCTCTATGTTTCAGTTATATGTGCAGATGGTAGCTACTACAGATTTTCTCTATGTTTCAGTTATATGTGCAGATGGTAGCTACTACAGATTTTCTCTATGTTTCAGTTATATGTGCAGATGGTAGCTACTACAGATTTTCTCTATGTTTCAGTTATATGTGCAGATGGTAGCTACTACAGATTTTCTCTATGTTTCAGTTATATGTGCAGATGGTAGCTACTACAGATTTTCTCTATGTTTCAGTTATATGTGCAGATGGTAGCTACTACAGATTTTCTCTATGTTTCAGTTATATGTGCAGATGGTAGCTACTACAGATTTTCTCTATGTTTCAGTTATATGTGCAGATGGTAGCTACTACAGATTTTCTCTATGTTTCAGTTATATGTGCAGATGGTAGCTACTACAGATTTTCTCTATGTTTCAGTTATATGTGCAGATGGTAGCTACTACAGATTTTCTTTCAATGCAAAAGGTGAGTGTACCAGGGAAGTCTGTGCACATTTTCTTGAGATGACAGATGAAAGGACTTGATGACAGATGGCATATGACAGATGGCATATGACAGATGGCATATGACAGATGGTTTGATCATTGTCGGACTGGATGTTAAGTTGGCTGTGAGACTGGCTTGGGTATATGTCAATGGTGGTATGGCCACATTGTGGTATGGCCACATTGTGGTATGGCCACATTGTGGTATGGCCACATTGTGGTATGGCCACATGGCGGTATGGCCACATGGTGTGCTGTTCTTGTAGACATTTTTCTCTGGGGGGGGGGGGGGGACAACTTGATTTTCTGGGGTGGGGAAGGGAGGGTGGTTAAAGAATATTTTTTCTATCTAAATTTTTATATATATATTTAAATCTATCCACCCTTGATAAAAGACACTGTATACAAGTGGCCAGATATGTTGAGGTGTTGATGTGGGCCAATTCCATACATTTGTGTACATTTTTTAACTTCCTTTTTCCATTGCTAATTTCATTGGGGGGGGACATTTCCAGATTTTGAAAACCAGTTTTTAAGAAAACTATGAAAATGTTAGTCATTCTTATAATGACATTCAACTGTATGAAAAGGTTAGTCATACTTATAATGACATTCAACTGTATGAAAATGTTAGTCATTCTTATAATGACATTCATTTGAAACCATTGATACTTGAGAAGGATTTGACAATAGATCCCCCAATCAAATTTTGCCATTCAAATGATTGTTTTACCTCAGAGTAAATACTGTAAAAACAAAATTGTAAATTCTGTTTTTGGTAATGTATGGTATTATATGTTTTTGGTAATGTAGGTTATTGTATGTTTTTGGTCATGTATGGTATTATATGTTTTTGGTCATGTAGGCTATTGTATGTTTTTGGTCATGTATGGTATTGTATGTTTTTGGTAATGTAGGCTATTGTATGTTTTTGGTCATGTAGGCTATTGTATGTTTTTGGTCATGTAGGCTATTGTATGTTTTTGGTCATGTAGGCTATTGTATGTTTTTGGTAATGTAGGCTATTGTATGTTTTTGGTAATGTAGGCTATTGTATGTTTTTGGTCATGTATGGTATTATATGTTTTTGGTAATGTAGGCTATTGTATGTTTTTGGTCATGTAGGCTATTGTATGTTTTTGGTCATGTAGGCTATTGTATGTTTTTGGTCATGTATGGTATTGTATGTTTTTGGTCATGTAGGCTATTGTATGTTTTTGGTCATGTAGGCTATTATATGTTTTTGGTCATGTAGGCTATTGTATGTTTTTGGTCATGTATGGTATTATATGTTTTTGGTCATGTAGGCTATTGTATGTTTTTGGTCATGTAGGCTATTGTATGTTTTTGGTCATGTATGTGCCAAAGTTTTAGCCCACAGCATTTATTTAATTCCACACCATATTTTAAAATGATTGACTTAATGCTATGATTGAACCAACTTGTACAAACCCACATTTCCACCCACACTTAAAGTCCTTTAGATTTTGTTTTTACAAATTTCATCTCAAATATTCTGTCTTATTTCATAAAGATTTTTCATGTCAGTTTTTAATTCCTTTATTCCATAAAGATTTTTTTTTCATGTCAAAGTTTCATTTAATATTCCATAAAGATTTTCTTCATGTCAAAGTTTTTAATTCATTTATTCCATAAAGATTTTTTTCATGTCAAATGTTCTATGTCATACATTTTGAAAATACTTTTTTCATTTCAAATGTTCCAAGTCATACTTTTAAAAATATTTGTTGATATCAAATTCCAATGTTCAGAAGTCATAAGTTTAAAAATATTTGTTGATATCAAATTCCAATGTTCAAAAGTCATAAGTTTGAAAATATTTGTTGATATCAAATTCCAATGTTCAAAAGTCATAAGTTTAAAAATATTTGTTGATATCAAATTCCAATGTTCAAAAGTCATAAGTTTGAAAATTGTGCTTGACACTTGAAGAAAAGACAACTCTAGAGCACAGACACGTAAACATTATGGGACTCAATAACACAGTTGGGTATGACCTCCATATAGACACACTAGGACATATCCTCTGTACTATACAGGATTTTATTTAATAAACTTGACAAAGCTGTTTGTCCTTTAAAAAAATATTTCTGAATGTAAGGACACAACAATTGGGCCCCCAAACTTCAACCATTGGGCCCCTATACTACAAAAATTGGGCTCTCATTAAGTGCCTCATTATATAGTCACTGGGATGCTGTGACCTGACCTAGAACACTGGTTTATATCCAACATCCATGGGACCCCACTGGACTAGACCTAGAACACTGGTTTATATCCAACATCCATGGGACCCCACTGGACTAGACCTAGAACACTGGTTTATATCCAACATCCATGGGACCCCACTGGACTAGACCTAGAACACTGGTTTATATCCAACATCCATGGGACCCCACTGGACTAGACCTAGAACACTGGTTTATATCCAACATCCATGGGACCCCACTGGACTAGACCTAGAACACTGGTTTATATCCAACATCCATGGGACCCCACTGACCTAGAACACTGGTTTATATCCAACATCCATGGGACCCCACTGGACTAGACCTAGAACACTGGTTTATATCCAACATCCATGGGACCCCACTGGAGGACAGGTGCTGTTTTCTCCTAAAAGAAGAATTTCAAGCTAAATGAATGTCAATCTAAAAATAAACTGATTTTGCCAATGAAGTGAGACTTGATGGAATGAGTCAGATGTGAATAAAACTTGTATTCCATAGTTCTAGCACTCAGCTCAGTCACTCACAGACCTGCATACACCACAAAGCTTAAAGAGAGATCAATTTGCTTGTTAAACTATACATTCAAACCACAAGACTTCCTCAGAGAATCGATGTGATTGCTATAGCCCTTTTAGCCCAGTAGATATCTTCCTTTTATTACTTGCTTGTTATCACTGTTTCAACCAATTGTTTTAAAATAATTTGGCCGTATGGTATTCAAAGATATACATGGGACTCAAATCATGAGTTCCTGCAACATGATGTGCTCAAAGAAGTCTGTACCCCCAGAACCCACTATGCCATTACCAATGTCAGGTTTATTCTTCAGTTGTCTAATTTAGGTAGTTCCTGTGTTGTTTACTTAAGATAGTGGTCTATCTAATTTAAGTAGTTCCTGTATTGTTTACTTGAGATAGTGGTCTATCTAATTTAAGTAGTTCCTGTATTGTTTACTTGAGATAGTGGTCTATCTAATTTAAGTAGTTCCTGTATTGTTTACTTGAGATAGTGGTCTATCTAATTTAGGTAGTTCCTGTGTTGTTTACTTGAGATAGTGGTCTATCTAATTTAAGTAGTTCCTGTATTGTTTACTTGAGATAGTGGTCTATCTAATTTAAGTAGTTCCTGTATTGTTTACTTGAGATAGTGGTCTATCTAATTTAAGTAGTTCCTGTATTGTTTACTTGAGATAGTGGTCTATCTAATTTAGGTAGTTCCTGTGTTGTTTACTTGAGATAGTGGTCTATCTAATTTAAGTAGTTCCTGTATTGTTTACTTGAGATAGTGGTCTATCTAATTTAAGTAGTTCCTGTATTGTTTACTTGAGATAGTGGTCTATCTAATTTAAGTAGTTCCTGTATTGTTTACTTGAGATAGTGGTCTATCTAATTTAAGTAGTTCCTGTATTGTTTACTTGAGATAGTGGTCTATCTAATTTTAGTAGTTCCTGTATTGTTTACTTGAGATAGTGGTCTATCTAATTCAAGTAGTTCCTGTAAAACAAATCACATGAATGGTCATCATTTTATTGGGGATTTGAGTGCTAAAATTCAGCTTTAATTGTCAACATTTTCCTGGGAATTGAGTACTAAGATTGACCTCAATCTATTTCAGTTTGATGTGAGCCCTTTTGTCTGGAGCCATTTTGTCTTGGGTCATTTGATTGTTTTTAGGCCAATGTGTTTTTAAAAAAAAGATTGTATAAGAGCTGAATGAATGATTGTGATCAATTGATTGAGCAGTTTTTTGTTCATACATTCAAAGATGATGGAACCTGGACCATACGAGTATGTTATGTTCAACATAAGTAAGTCAGTCAAGTGTTTGTGAAGTCAGTCAGTGTAGCTAACTGAAACAGTATGCAAGTTATTTGGTATTTTAGTATTTTTAGAAACCAGAAATTGATATCAGAAGTCACTAAAACATTGTACGTGCTTTTATAAGTTTTAAGGTCTAACTAGACTTACCCCGTCATCCCTTGGATAACTGAGGGTTTCGGGGGTCATCCATAAATGACATCACGTCTGTCACTTATCATCACAAAATAACCAGACCCCACATTAAAAAAGACGTTTTTTATCTTTTAAAAACACCGATTTTGGCTGAGCATAGGTCTGACCACACTATCCCTTCATATACTGATGTCACAGGAAACCTACTCAACTCTACTTCACCTGCCCAATGTCCCGCCAAGTCTCAGACAACATGTTTTTATTGTTTAAAAAAACTATTCCAGCCTAGCATGTCTCTGACCACAACTATCCCTTCATATGCTAGGACAAAAAACAGATGAACTCTACTTCACCTGCCCTGTATCATGCCAAGTTTAGATAGGCAACTTTATCGGTCACCACTAAAAAAAAAAAATCGACATTTTTTTTTTAACATTGACATGATGTGTCTAGAACCCGTGCCACTCGCATGAAAGCCTAACACACTAACAACTTATCTATCTAGATTCGTGACATCACTATGTTTTTGTTTGTGCTATATAATAATACATTGAGTCTCCTTATTCAACTTGATTTACGTGCATAGGCCCTATCTCTAGATTTAACTTAATTTAAGTCTAGTAATAGTAACTTTCAACTTAAATTTTATCTTAAAGTAGCCAATAGACACCAGTGATTTGATGAAAATCCTTCCGTAATGTTGTTGACATGGAATAAAAATGTGCTTTTTTAGATTCAGGACCGTAAAAAATAATAAAAGATAAAATTTTATTAAAAACTTAAGCCTAAAATTAATTCAGAAATTTAATATTTTTAGAATCAATGCTATACAAGTTGTAAACAAAATAACTATGAAGTGGGGCTGTCAGAAATCGATCACGGAGTTCCTTTACAGCCAATCAATGTTTGTCTTACGAAAGTGAAACATCGGGTTATAACTTAGGCTTGATGAAAATAAATAGAAATGTATCCTTAAACTCAACAAATTATTTTCAAGTTCTCTGGATCTGCAACTTGTATAGAATGTATAGCATTGATTCTAAAAAGGAATCTCGTCAACTCGCTGTGTCCAATATTGGCGGAAATCATTCAAATGTGAGCATAAACCTGTACACACAATGTAATACTTGTGTCAAATTTCATCCACCTTAACATTTTAGAAACAGGAAGTAGTGTAAGTACATTTTCAGGTTACCAGAAATCCTTTAAAAGTTAATACAGAACTATCCATCAGATATTCTACTTATGTAGGAAATTTCTTCAACAATACTGTACAGTATTTATCGTGTTCACAGACAAAACTAAATTTTCCCGGATCTAGAACGATGTACAACATTAAAACATGTCAAAATTTCAATTAAGATTTTTGCATGATTACAATACATCCTTTGTATTCCGTATATGATAGAGTGGGGAGGTGTAAAACTGCAAAAACTATTCAAATTTTATTGAATGTTTCTGCACCATCACAATATTTTCTCATTACTCTGTAGACCTGACAAATGGCAAAGACCAAAAAAGCCTCTCTGTGTGTGAGTGTGTGTGTAACTCATTGGAGAGTTGAAAATGGCAATGATAAACTGTCATTTAATATGGCAAAAGAAAATGTTGTTAGCATAAAAAAGATGTATGTAACTACATGGCTTTTATATGTAACTACAGGGCTTTTGTATGTAACTAAAGGGCTTTACTGAGCACATTCAGCACTGGTGGATACCAGACTTGCTTTGGGGAAAGTAAAGGCAGCTGGACATAGGGCATTGTGAGAAACATAAACTCTACTTCATCTGCCCAATGGATTACTAGGTCTTAAAAGGAAACCTTGTACAGCTTTAAAAGGAAACCTTGTACAGCTTTAAAAAAAAAGATGACTCCAGACTTCCCTCAGATTGTCCTGTGTCACACAAGCAGCTACATTTCTTGACGACATACAGACTATAGTTTTAATTTCTGTATCTCATCTGGATGTAACACTGGGGTTAATCTGCATTGCATTGTGTTGCTTTCAGTTCTAGATTCTCTAACACTAGCTCATCTACAATGGCACCATGGAATCATCTCCCTTTTTGTTATTCTTAGCAACATTTAACTTGCATTGTCATGGGCAATGCATTTCCATGGTAAGAATTCACTCAAACAGTGTTGAACAGAATCCTAGTGAGTTAAAGATTTGAACAAACAAGAGCATAAGCTTGTATAAAAACAACTCAACATCAAGCTAATTAGAAAAATAGGAATGTATTTGGTTAAAATTGCATTACATTTTCAAATATTAAAATTTAGCATTAATTGCTATAAATATAAAATGTGTTGTCTATTAATAAATATGTAGTACATCTAGAGATCAGGAAAAGACCCATGGCATCAAGAGGTCAACACACCTGTCAACACACCTGTTGGTGCACCTGTCAACACACCTGTTGGCGCACCTGTCAACACACCTGTTGGTGCACCTGTCAACACACCTGTTGGTGCATCTGTCAACACACCTGTTGGTGCACCTGCCAACACACCTGTTGGTGCACCTGTCAACACACCTTTAGATGTCTAGAACATGAATGAAATATTTACATCTTGTTACCAAGTTACAATCCAAGTACATCTTAAGTAGAGTAGAAATAAACACATCAAGTCATTGGCTCATCAAAACAATTGAAAACTAACACAACCATTGGATTGGCTAACTAACACAACCATTAGATTGGCCAACTAACACAACCATTGGATTGGCCAACTAACACAACCATTGGATTGGCCAACTAACACAAACATTAGATTGGCCATCAAACAACCATTGGCCATCTATTCTGATTCCTAGTTGTCACCCAACTTGAGATGACATTTACATGACACTGTACAACTGACTTTGTACACCTGACATAGTCTGCCAATAGTGTACATGCAATCTATTAGTGAGATGTACAAGTGTACATGCAATCTATTAGTGAGATGTACAAGCTTTGAGTGAAAAAATGACATTTAACAAATGACACATGTAACACATGACATTTAACAAATGACACATGACATATAAACTAATACATGTCCAGGCTGGGAGAGACCTCAGTTGGAGCTGTGACCACTTTTACGGCTGCCAGCAGGACTGGAAGCTGGGCTGGAAGCTGGGCTGGAAGCTGGGGAGTCATCTTTTATAACTGTCTCTATCTCCCCTTCATCCAGTGCATCTGGGAATGGATGTGTTTATTTCATTCTATCTATCTCTATATTACACTGGCATATATCATCTATCTATTTATATCAATATATATTTCTTTATCCCTACCTATCTATATATATTTCTCTGTATTCATCTCCCTCTATTTTTATTTTTTATTAAGAGCATCCACCGCCCCCCCCCTCCCATTTACATGGTTGTCCATGGTGCCTGTCGTCCACAAGATGGCTGACTATCTTGTCCTCAAACTCAGGCTCAAAGTGTCGAGGTTCCTGGTGCTGGCTGGCTGCTGGCAGGACCTCTGTCTCAATCACTGGTTCAGGTTCTAGCCAGGTTCTTGCAGGCTAGGTGACAGTGTGACATTATGTACATCAGAAGACATTTAACGTACATAGGAGAGTTATTTTATAGCCAAGATGTGTACATGGGATGATGTGTGCATGGGATGATGTGTACATGGGATGAACATTTGGGAAATGTCACATGATATACAGTGTGTATTTATGTCAGATGGACTGACCTCAGGCGGAGGTAGGTCCTCCACATGTTGAACATGCACTGGGCTGTGTGCCACAACCACTGGGCTGTGTGGCTTGGAGATAATTGGTTTCTTAGCGACCACAGCATATTCACCCATGTCATCATCAGGCTGGTAGGCTGGATTCACAGCAGACTGTACCGGCTGAAGAGTAAAGACAACTTGGTTGTACCACCCACCTGAGACAACATGTACCACCCACCTGAGACAACATGTACCACCCACCTGAGACAACATGTACCACCCACCTGAGACAACATGTACCACCCACCTGAGACAACATGTACCACCCACCTGTGGAACCAAATGCACTTGCGTGTGTTGTTCGGCTCTGATCTTTGCTGTCTTCTTCTTTTTCCTACATAAAACAATCATGATAACAGAAATCCTATGAAAACAATCATGATTACAGAATAAAATCCTATGCAAACAATCATGATTACAGGAATCCTATGCAAAATCATCCTGATATATAAAAGCCCATGTACGCATTCTCTCTCTCTCTCTCTGTCCGCAAAATATTTTCGCAGGGTATCACATTAGAATCTTAACTTGATACAGACTTTTGTTGAAAATAATGTGGTAGATGTTTTAAATGTATAACCAACATTTTATTTAAAGAAGAAAAAATAAAGGCATATTCGAATGTAGAAAACGGTTTTAATTATGCAACAGGAAAAGTGTTTATAGTTGTGAAAAAGAACCCATGAAACAATGACGTCACTAATGTTTATACATTAACTAATGACATCATCTGCCGAGTTTAGAATAAAAAGAAATTAACTATTTCATTCAAATTTGATTTAGATCTATGTACACTATGAAATGTATACAATACAATATTTCCTACCTAAACTTACAATTTTTTTTTATCTATTTGGATTCTAGATCTAGAGATTCTAGATCTAGACTAGATCTAAATCTACGCAAAAACTAGATGTTGACGCTAAGATCTAGATTTAGACTCTATCTACTCTAGAATCTATTCCAAAAATAAATTTCTATATTAAACTATTTCAGGCCTTAATTATTTTATAGAAATCTTTGTTTGTTTAGCTATGGAACTGGCTAATTTGGGATAAAAAAAATTAATTTGAAAGAATAGGCATATTCGCGTAAGTTAAGTTTTTTAAATACGTCTCTCATTCTCCATATTTTATAAGGTGCCGAAATAGCTGGGATGATAGTGTACTTGATACCACGCAGGTGGTGCGGGATCGAGACACACCAAGTCAAACTTAATTTTTTATTTTTTTAATATGTGAATCTTCCGATTTAAGACTATAAAGAAAGGAACTACTTCATTCAAATTTGTTTTAGATCTAGATCTATAGATCTACTCATCAAGACGTACGCTATGAAATATATACAATTCTATCGGTCAAACTAATACACATTACTTAAAAATAACATAATGACCATTGAATAGCCAGATTTTTAACGGAATCATTTAAGTCACTTAATCAGTGTGTGCCTATGTTATGTTAAATGTGTCGGATTTTTAGCTAATTAGATTTCTTTGCTTTGTCATTAATATCGTTCAGCGTGTAGTAAAGCGCATTGCGTTTTGACCAATAACTATTTTATAAATTATTTTTCTCAAACAAGTACAACATTTTAAAATATATAGGTCTATAATTCACGTGAAATGGGTACCGATGGCTAATGTTCATAGAAATCCTTTGCAAACAATCATGTTTATAGAAATACTTTGCAAACAATCATGTTTACAGAAATCTTGTGCAAACAATCATGTTTACAGAAATCTTGTGCAAACAATCAAGTTTACAGAAATCTTGTGCAAACAATCATGTTTACAGAAATCTTGTGCAAACAATCATGTTTACAGAAATCTTGTGCAAACAATCATGTTTACAGAAATCTTGTGCAAACAATCATGTTTTCAGAAATCTTGTGCAAACAATCATGTTTACAGAAATCAAGTTGAGATGTCTACTTACGAGCTCCTGATACACAGACAGGCTATGATAAACAAAACAATGGCTAGGAAAATGAGAAGGATGGTGATGATGAGTATTGCTAGCACAGCGTCTTCCTTCAGGATAAATTCTCCATCGTCACCTTTTGCCTGCCAGTGGAAAAAATTCTTTCAAATAATAAAATGTGTACAAAATACATGTACAACTTTAAAATTAGATGGCTGATAAAAAGTTGAAATTAAACAAAACTTGAAAGGTGTTTTACCTCAACATTAGTGACATAGATGGAATCATAGATGGAGCTTACCTCAACATTTGTGACAATGATGGAGCTTACCTCAACATTTGTGACATAGACGGAGCTTACCTCAACATTTGTGACATAGATGGAATCATAGACGGAGCTTACCTCAACATTTGTGACATAGACGGAGCTTACCTCAACATTTGTGACATAGATGGAATCATAGACGGAGCTTACCTCAACATTAGTGACAGATGGAGCTTACCTCAACATTAGTGACATAGATGGAATCATAGATGGAGCTTACCTCAACATAAGTGACATAGATGGAGCTTACCTCAACATTTGTGACATAGATGGAATCATAGACGAAGCTTACCTCAACATTTGTGACATAGATGGAATCATAGACGGAGCCAGATGAAGATTTTTTCTGCTCTATCAGGCTGCTGAGCTGGGCCGCGGTGTACAGACTGCCTGAGCGTGGGTTGACAGCAGCCAAAATAACATCAGTCCTGTGGATGGTCAAAGGTTAATTAGTGCAAGTTGATGGCAGCCAAAATAACATGTCCTGTGGAGAACTTACATTGTGTGGAAAACTTACATTTGGGGGTTCTGAGTTCCATCAGACTCTACATGAGTTCTCATGCTACTGATACAGGCAAACAGGATGTCCTGAGGTGCAGAGTCTTGGACAGTCCTGAGGAAAAAATTGTGTGTTTTCTTAGCCTGTCTATAGTGGTTTTGCTACATGTCACTTATTAGTTTATGGGACGGAGTGGTCTAGCGGTAGAGAGCTGGACTCGTAACCCGTAAGTCTCGAGTTCGAAGTTCAAGTCAGTAGTCTTACCCTGGGTCAACCCAACTCTGATGGGTACCTAACTCACGTTAGGGAAAGTAAAGGCGGCTGGGTATAGTGCTGACCACACTATCTCTTCATACTTTTCTTGCCCCATAGACCGTCAGGTTTGAAAGGGAGACTTTACTTTTTACTTATTAGTTTCCTCTCACCTGTAAGTTACCTGTTACCTGTAAGTTACCTGTCATGTGGTGATGTTACCTGTCACCTGTAAGTTACCTGTCACCTGTAAGTTACCTGTCACCTGTAAGTTACCTGTCACCTGTAAGTTACCTGTCACCTGTAAGTTACCTGTCACCTGTAAGTTACCTGTCACCTGTAAGTTACCTGTCACCTGTAAGTTACCTGTCACCTGTAAGTTACCTGTCACCTGTAAATTACCTGTCACCTGTAAATTACCTGTCACCTGTTAGTTGCCTGTCACCTGTAAATTACCTGTCACCTGTAAATTACCTGTCACCTCAGTCACCTGTAAGTTACCTGTCACCTGTAAATTACCTGTCACCTGTAAATTACCTGTCACCTCAGTCACCTGTAAGTTACCTGTCACCTGTAAATTACCTGTCACCTGTAAGTTACCTGTCACCTGTAAATTTCCTGTCACCTGTAAATTACCTGTCACCTGTTAGTTGCCTGTCACCTGTAAATTACCTAATGAGCTGCTGCTTGAAGGGCTGAACATCCTCAATGGGTCTGTTGATTCTCATATTGACCAAGTTCGAAGGTGACATCACAGCTATCTACACATTCATAAGATAATAAACTTGTAATAGTGCTGATGTAGATGTGGGGGTGTAGATGTGTTGATGTAGATGTGGTGATGTAGATGTGGTGATGTAGATGTGGTGATGTAGATGTGGTGATGTAGATGTGGTGATGTAGATGTGGTGATGTAGATGTGGTGATGTAGGTGTGGTGATGTAGATGTGGTGATGTAGATGTGGTGATGTAGATGTGGTGATGTAGATGTGGTGATGTAGGTGTGGTGATGTAGATGTGGTGATGTAGGTGTGGTGATGTAGATGTGGTGATGTAGATGTGGTGATGTAGATGTGATGTAGGTGTGGTGATGTAGATGTGGTGATGTAGGTGTGGTGATGTAGGTGTGGTGATGTAGATGTGGTGATGTAGATGTGGTGATGTAGGTGTGGTGATGTAGGTGTGGTGATGTAGATGTGGTGATGTAGATGTGGTGATGTAGATGTGGTGATGTAGATGTGGTGATGTAGATGTGGTGATGTAGGTGTGGTGATGTAGGTGTGGTGATGTAGGTGTGGTGATGTAGATGTGGTGATGTAGATGTGGTGATGTAGGTGTGGTGATGTAGATGTGGTGATGTAGATGTGGTGATGTAGGTGTGGTGATGTAGATGTGATGATGTAGATGTGGTGATGTAGATGTGGTGATGTAGATGTGGTGATGTAGATGTGATGTAGGTGTGGTGATGTAGATGTGGTGATGTAGGTGTGGTGATGTAGGTGTGGTGATGTAGATGTGATGTAGATGTGGTGATGTAGATGTGGTGATGTAGATGTGGTGATGTAGGTGTGGTGATGTAGATGTGATGATGTAGATGTGGTGATGTAGATGTGATGTAGGTGTGGTGATGTAGATGTGGTGATGTAGGTGTGGTGATGTAGATGTGGTGATGTAGATGTGGTGATGTAGATGTGGTGATGTAGATGTGGTGATGTAGATGTGGTGATGTAGATGTGATGTAGGTGTGGTGATGTAGGTGTCGTGATGTAGGTGTGGTGATGTAGGTGTGGTGATGTAGGTGTGGTGATGTAGATGTGGTGATGTAGGTGTCGTGATGTAGGTGTGGTGATGTAGATATGGTGATGTAGGTGTGGTGATGTAGATGTGGTGATGTAGATATGGTGATGTAGGTGTGGTGATGTAGATAAGGTGATGTAGATGTGGTGATGTAAATGTGGTGATGTAGGTGTGGTGATGTAGATGTGGTGATGTAGATGTGGTGATGTAGGTGTGGTGATGTAGATGTGGTGATGTAGGTGTGGTGATGTAGATGTGGTGATGTAGATGTGGTGATGTAGATGTGATGTAGGTGTGGTGATGTAGATGTGGTGATGTAGGTGTGGTGATGTAGGTGTGGTGATGTAGATGTGGTGATGTAGGTGTGGTGATGTAGGTGTGGTGATGTAGATGTGGTGATGTAGATGTGGTGATGTAGATGTGGTGATGTAGATGTGGTGATGTAGATGTGGTGATGTAGGTGTGGTGATGTAGGTGTGGTGATGTAGGTGTGGTGATGTAGATGTGGTGATGTAGATGTGGTGATGTAGGTGTGGTGATGTAGATGTGGTGATGTAGATGTGGTGATGTAGGTGTGGTGATGTAGATGTGATGATGTAGATGTGGTGATGTAGATGTGGTGATGTAGATGTGATGTAGGTGTGGTGATGTAGATGTGGTGATGTAGGTGTGGTGATGTAGGTGTGGTGATGTAGATGTGGTGATGTAGATGTGGTGATGTAGATGTGGTGATGTAGGTGTGGTGATGTAGATGTGATGATGTAGATGTGGTGATGTGGATGTGGTGATGTAGATGTGATGTAGGTGTGGTGATGTAGATGTGGTGATGTAGGTGTGGTGATGTAGATGTGGTGATGTAGATATGGTGATGTAGGTGTGGTGATGTAGATAAGGTGATGTAGATGTGGTGATGTAAATGTGGTGATGTAGGTGTGGTGATGTAGATGTGGTGATGTAGATGTGGTGATGTAGGTGTGGTGATGTAGATGTGGTGATGTAGGTGTGGTGATGTAGATGTGGTGATGTAGATGTGGTGATGTAGATGTGGTGATGTAGGTGTGGTGATGTAGATGTGGTGATGTAGATGTGGTGATGTAGATGTGATGTAGGTGTGGTGATGTAGATGTGGTGATGTAGGTGTGGTGATGTAGGTGTGGTGATGTAGATGTGGTGATGTAGGTGTGGTGATGTAGGTGTGGTGATGTAGATGTGGTGATGTAGATGTGGTGATGTAGATGTGGTGATGTAGATGTGGTGATGTAGATGTGGTGATGTAGGTGTGGTGATGTAGGTGTGGTGATGTAGGTGTGGTGATGTAGATGTGGTGATGTAGATGTGGTGATGTAGGTGTGGTGATGTAGATGTGGTGATGTAGATGTGGTGATGTAGGTGTGGTGATGTAGATGTGATGATGTAGATGTGGTGATGTAGATGTGGTGATGTAGATGTGATGTAGGTGTGGTGATGTAGATGTGGTGATGTAGGTGTGGTGATGTAGGTGTGGTGATGTAGATGTGGTGATGTAGATGTGGTGATGTAGATGTGGTGATGTAGGTGTGGTGATGTAGATGTGATGATGTAGATGTGGTGATGTGGATGTGGTGATGTAGATGTGATGTAGGTGTGGTGATGTAGATGTGGTGATGTAGGTGTGGTGATGTAGATGTGGTGATGTAGATGTGGTGATGTAGATGTGGTGATGTAGATGTGGTGATGTAGATGTGGTGATGTAGATGTGATGTAGGTGTGGTGATGTAGGTGTCGTGATGTAGGTGTGGTGATGTAGGTGTGGTGATGTAGGTGTGGTGATGTAGATGTGGTGATGTAGGTGTCGTGATGTAGGTGTGGTGATGTAGATATGGTGATGTAGGTGTGGTGATGTAGATGTGGTGATGTAGATATGGTGATGTAGGTGTGGTGATGTAGATAAGGTGATGTAGATGTGGTGATGTAAATGTGGTGATGTAGGTGTGGTGATGTAGATGTGGTGATGTAGGTGTGGTGATGTAGATGTGGTGATGTAGATGTGGTGACGTAGGTGTGGTGATGTAGATGTGGTGATGTAGGTGTGGAGATGTAGGTGTGGTGATGTAGGTGTGGTGATGTAGATGTGGTGATGTAGATGTGGTGATGTAGGTGTGGTGATGTAGATGTGGTGATGTAGATGTGGTGATGTAGGTGTGATGTAGATGTGGTGATGTAGATATGATGTAGATGTGGTGATGTAGGTGTGGTGATGTAGATAAGGTGATGTAGATGTGGTGATGTAGGTGTGATGTAGATGTGGTGATGTAGGTGTGGTGATGTAGATGTGGTGATGTAGATGTGGTGATGTAGATGTGGTGATGTAGATGTGGTGATTTAGGTGTGGTGATGTAGGTGTGGAGATGTAGGTGTGATGTAGATGTGGTGATGTAGATATGGTGATGTAGATGTGATGTAGATGTGGTGATGTAGGTGTGGTGATGTAGATGTGATGTAGGTGTGGTGATGTAGATGTGGTGATGTAGGTGTGGTGATGTAGGTGTGGTGATGTAGGTGTGGTGATGTAGGTGTGGTGATGTAGATGTGGTGATGTAGATGTGGTGATGTAGGTGTGATGTAGATGTGGTGATGTAGGTGTGGTGATGTAGATGTGGTGATGTAGATGTGGTGATGTAGATGTGGTGATGTAGATGTGGTGATTTAGGTGTGGTGATGTAGGTGTGGTGATGTAGATGTGATGATGTAGATGTGGTGATGTAGATGTGGTGATGTAGATGTGATGTAGGTGTGGTGATGTAGATGTGGTGATGTAGGTGTGGTGATGTAGGTGTGGTGATGTAGATGTGATGTAGATGTGGTGATGTAGATGTGGTGATGTAGATGTGGTGATGTAGGTGTGGTGATGTAGATGTGATGATGTAGATGTGGTGATGTAGATGTGGTGATGTAGATGTGATGTAGGTGTGGTGATGTAGATGTGGTGATGTAGGTGTGGTGATGTAGATGTGGTGATGTAGATGTGGTGATGTAGATGTGGTGATGTAGATGTGGTGATGTAGATGTGGTGATGTAGATGTGATGTAGGTGTGGTGATGTAGGTGTCGTGATGTAGGTGTGGTGATGTAGGTGTGGTGATGTAGGTGTGGTGATGTAGATGTGGTGATGTAGGTGTCGTGATGTAGGTGTGGTGATGTAGATATGGTGATGTAGGTGTGGTGATGTAGATGTGGTGATGTAGATATGGTGATGTAGGTGTGGTGATGTAGATAAGGTGATGTAGATGTGGTGATGTAAATGTGGTGATGTAGGTGTGGTGATGTAGATGTGGTGATGTAGGTGTGGTGATGTAGATGTGGTGATGTAGATGTGGTGACGTAGGTGTGGTGATGTAGATGTGGTGATGTAGGTGTGGAGATGTAGGTGTGGTGATGTAGGTGTGGTGATGTAGATGTGGTGATGTAGATGTGGTGATGTAGGTGTGGTGATGTAGATGTGGTGATGTAGATGTGGTGATGTAGGTGTGATGTAGATGTGGTGATGTAGATATGATGTAGATGTGGTGATGTAGGTGTGGTGATGTAGATAAGGTGATGTAGATGTGGTGATGTAGGTGTGATGTAGATGTGGTGATGTAGGTGTGGTGATGTAGATGTGGTGATGTAGATGTGGTGATGTAGATGTGGTGATGTAGATGTGGTGATTTAGGTGTGGTGATGTAGGTGTGGAGATGTAGGTGTGATGTAGATGTGGTGATGTAGATATGGTGATGTAGATGTGATGTAGATGTGGTGATGTAGGTGTGGTGATGTAGATGTGATGTAGGTGTGGTGATGTAGATGTGGTGATGTAGGTGTGGTGATGTAGGTGTGGTGATGTAGGTGTGGTGATGTAGGTGTGGTGATGTAGATGTGGTGATGTAGATGTGGTGATGTAGGTGTGGTGATGTAGATGTGGTGATGTAGGTGTGATGTAGATGTGG